CTTCTTGGCATGAGTGGTGCTCAGTGGATGAGTGTTGGTTGGTTGAATGGCTTCTACACCTAGGTATCTTTACCCACTCAGGAGACTTTGGCCTGGGCCCAGCAGATGCCTCAAAGGCTCTCTACACCAGAGCCCTGTGATTCATGGGCTCTGATGATCAAATTCCTTTGCAGGATGACTTTTTTTTTTTTGAGACAGGGTCTCACTATGTAATTGAGAATGACCTGGAACTCACTATGTAGCCCAGGCTGGTCTCAAACTGACAGTGATCCTCCTGCCTCAGCCTCCCAAATACTGGGATTACAGGTGTGCGCCACCAAGGATGACATCTGTAAGGACTGCTGGATGTTCTCTAAGGTGGGAAGGTGGGTGAGTGGTGAGGGTACCCGGGGGAGGGAGGAACTTGTATACTCGCTTCTACCCCTCTCCAGAATGGTAAACAGGAACCAGTCTGGGCTGGGGAATTAGCTCAGTTGTTCCGCCGCCTGACTCAAAAGCTCAAGGACCCGAGTTCGATCGCCGGTACAAAAAAAAAAAAAAAAATCCAGTGTCCTCCTCCAATGGGTGTAGAGTCACGTCTCCCCCCAAAACACATTGAAGTCCTAATGTGGGACCTGTGATTGTGACTTTATTTGGAAATAGGGCCTCAGTAGAGATCATCAAATTAAGATGAGGCTAACAGTTGTCTGATACTCAATTCAAATTAACTGGGCTGTCCTGTATTTTTAGTGGGCAAATGTGGAGACCCTAGCTGGGAAGGAGAAAGGTCCGGATTCAAGTGGAGAACCCACAATTCCCAGTGTTTGATGATGGCTCCCCTGGGCCTGGAAAGTGTCAGAAACAGAAGCAAGGGGCCCATGGCAGAGGGTCTGTGTTATGAGGTGGAGCATCCGGGCCAAGATCCTGGGCTTGCGAAGCCATTTGGGTACATGGAGCTCTAGAATAGGAAGAGTTAGATGAGGAGAGGGTAGAAATCTGGTTGACCCAAACAAGGGTCACCTTAGGACTCAAGGGCATGGCAGAACCCAACACTCCAACAAGGCTCAGTGGAGGGTGAGGGCCTGTGACCCAGGGGAGTCACGGAGGCTGCTGGGTAGGGCCCACCAGACACCATGAGAGGCCCTCACTGGGAAAGAATGGGATTATCAAGGACAAACTTTTCAAACATCAAGGCCCCAATGCTAGAATGGGGACCTTGCAGGGGCTTTTCAGATTCACATCTCCTCCCCTCGGAATGGCAGGCTAGAACAGGGACTGGAGGGTGACCCACCGCCAGCCATCACGGGCCGCGCACTGTCGGGCCTACTCTTGGTGAGGGACATGTCACAGTGACTTGGGAACCAGGGGCCAGGCTTTGCCTCTTCCCCATCCTCCCCCAGCCACAGAAACTCACAGCAAGTCAGGCAAGAAAAGCCAATCGTTTATTTACACCTTGGTCTGTACATTACAGTTCCCCGGAAGGTGCCTGCCGTGGACAGCCTGCTCCCTTCTGGAGAGAAGCAGGCTTCAGGCAAAGAGCTCAGGACCCGGGACTCGGCCTTGGGGCCTCAGCCCACACTTCCTCCCCTGGACCGGAACAGGAGGTTCCACGCTAGCCCCAGAGCTGTTACCAGACATAGGCTCCTGGGGCAAAAACACCCAAACTGAATCCCATAGTCAAAAGCCCTCTTACCCACCCTTGGCCACAAGGCCATGGGGGCAGTTTTTCCACCTGGGCCCCGGAGACCCTGCCCAGAGTGGGAGGGGCTGAGTCCTCACTCACACTGTCCCATCAAGGTCCTGACAGAGACTGGGATTATTAATGGCACTCTGGTCTGAGCACCTTCGGCAGACGGGGCTGGGCAGGTATTAAGAGCAGGCAGGGAGAGCAGCCGTCTCTTCCTTCAGCCCTGCTGGCGTCCGCAGCTGTCCCATACACCAGAGGCAGTGGTGTTTTGCCAAGCACTGGGGAACCACTCAGCCAGGGCTTCCTCTAGGGCAGAGCGGGTACCGGAGCTGCTGCAGCCCTGCGACATCCCTGCCAGGGCTGATGCCCCAGGATAAAAGTGCGCTCTGCCGCCTATTAATATTCACATCAACACAGGAAGAGGTTTGTGGGAGAAGCTGCTTTACACAAAGTTACCCTTTTCTGGGAAGCAAGGCTTCTAAACTACCCGCAGGCTGGATGAGGGACTCAGCGACCCTGAGCTTAGGACGATGAAAGATTCTGTACAATGCGATGGTGTCTACAAGACTTGGGTGAGCCAAGGGGAAGCGGGCCTGATCCTCAGGGGGATGTGCCTGGGAGCAAGGCCTTACACGGTGGAGGCACGAGGTCACAAAGCAGATGAGTGCTACACATTTCCGGGGTGTGGAGGGAGGGAAGGAGAGAAGGGACGTAGAAAACGGGGTAGTGGGTAACGTGGAGAATCCTGTACAGTGGTGACAGGGAAAAGGCACACGGACAAGGACCCCAAACCATGCAGACAAAAATCACAGCCTGTGCAGCACAGCAAAGCACACGGTCCCAGCAGGAGACAGGGTCACCCCCAGGACATCAGCACTTAGACCTGCAGGAGGGGTGCTTGGGATGCCATCCCAGGCTGGGGCTGACACCCCAACATTACAGTCACATGAAGAGAGAAGGAGCCTACAAGGTTGGGACAGTGAGGTCACATGGGAAACCTAGTACCCAGGAAGGACAGTGGCATTACTCTCCACCTTGGTAAGAAACAAACTCTTCGCCGCCGCAGCTGTTTCCTCGGGTGGGCAGCTAGAGGACGGCAGGAGGGCAAGCCCATGGTTTCAGCACCTACTGCCGCCCACCGGCTGCCTCTGTCACCGGTGCCTGTGGAGCAGGGTGTCAGGACTGGGAGGTCCCCGAGATCAGTGCTCCGAGAGGGCATGCCACCTGTAACTTGAGGCGCTCCGAGGGGCACACCTCAGTCTTACCAGCCTTAAGTACCATGTTAGTGGGGAGACCATGGTTCCCAACAGGAAGCCTGGGAGTTAGGACCGGAGGAGGCCAGCACCAAAGTCCTAAATGGCCCCTCCTCAACCCAGACTCCACCTTGGCCCTTGCAGGGTGGCCTCTGGGGACCTGCCAGGTACTTATTTTCTACCCTAAACTCTGCCCTATTCCAGTCACATCTACAGTTAGGTTAAAACTGCCAATGTCTCACTGGGCGTGGTGGCGCACACTTGTAATCCCAGCACTCGGGAGTCTGAAGCAGGAGGATCGCTGTGAGTTCGAGACCAGACTGGGCTACATAGTGAGTTCCAGGTCAGTCTCAACTCCATAGTGAGACCCTGTCTCAAAAAACCAAAACCAACAAAAAACAAACTGCCAGTGTCTCACATACACAGCACAAAAAGAGGACTGGATTTCTCCCTGCTCCATCAGGCCTTGCTGGAGGCATTGGCTGTCAAGAAATAGGCAGAATCCATAAAGTCAGTGTACCCTCCTGCTGTGGTTCAAGCAGGTGGCTGCTGTGGCCAAGGCTGCTTTCAGTGGGGACGGCTAAGCTGACTGTTCTATTCCCACTGTGGAATCAGTCCTGGTCAACCTATCCCGACACGTGTCACAAAGGACTCTGGGGGTACCAAGCAGAGACAACCCTGCCACCCACTCAGGCTTGCTAACCTCCTAGCTATGAGAACAGCAAGAGCCACCGGTTCTGAAGGCACTTGGCCTCCCATCCTGAGGCAAAGACTATTCCACAGCATTCCCTCAGGAAAAGTCACCATGACACTGCCAACAGAGGGGCCGCTCTTCTGGCCAGGCTCAACAAGCCCCATTTCCTCTCCCTCTGGGCATCCACCTTCTAGAACAAAGGAGTCTCCCCTTGAGCTGCGGCTCAGCATCACTCTGGGAAGTCTGCACAAATGCAGCTAAATCTGAGCCACGGGGTGGAGTGGGGCTGCCCCAGGCGTCAGAACTTTCAAAAATCCCAGGGGACTCCAGGGCACAGCCAAGGCTGTGAACCTCTCTTTCAGGACACAGTGCTCAGGAGGCTCTGTCTTTGTAGTACGTCAGAAATTAAATCTGGAGAAAAGAATCTCCTTGGCGATTCTCAAGTAAATTACCAGTTTAACATAAATGGCCAATGCGAAGTTTAAAAAGAACTGCTAATTTTGGTTTCCAACTCAATACAAGGACAGCCCAGTGTCAGGTAAATGTGTAATTTCTTTCTTCCTGGTACTAGAGAGCAAGCCCATGGGTGCTCTACCACGGGGTTACATCCCCAGCTCTAGTATTTGAGATAGGGTCTTGTGTTGCCCAAATTGGCCTCAAACTTGCAACCCTCCTGCCTCAGCCTTCTGAATAGCTGGAATTACAGATGGGTGCTATTTCACCGGGCTCAAAAGGTGCCTCTTCTACAAAAACCCCCACTTCTCTCAACCAAGGGAAAACCACCTATAACTTCAGGGAAATTTCTGCTAATTCCTATTTGTTAGGGTTACCGGGTTTGGCAACAAACAAAAACAAACAGAACCCCTCCCCCATAAGATGCCCAGTTAGTCAGCTGGAACATTTGTAAAAACATTTCAAGGCCTGTGCCACACCTACACTAAACCAGAACATCTGGTACTCCAAAATTTTAAAAGCTTATCTTCAGTATGTCCCAAATATGGCATAGATCGTATTTATTCTAAAAATTAAAAATTGCGTTCCAATCTGTCCTATCAAGCACAGCTCTGGAGCCCATCTCAGGCTGGGGAACTAAGTGAGACCCCGGGGTATCTGCTGCCCTCAGGTTAACTTTCAAATCCAAAAGTACATTTCAAAAACATGATCTTGGGCCGGGGATTTAGCTCAGTGGTTCCACTGCCTGCCCTGCCTCACAAGCACAAGGTCCCGAGTTCAATCCCCGGTACCAAAAAATTAAAACAAAACAAATGCATGATCTTAAAAAACCAAGTCGACAGATGAGGTTTTGTAAGACTTACACCCTGGCTGGAGGAAGGAAGAAGGTTGGGGTTAACTGGAGATGTGTGTGCTGCATGGTAAGCAGGTCCTCTGTTAAAAGGCCCTCTTCCATGGAGGCCTCTGCGGCACTGGGCTTGGTCTAGGTGGCTTTCAGACTTGGCAATTCCTGGGGTAGTCGGTTCCCATGGCGCCCCCTACAGGGAGGAGCCAGTGGGACAGTGCTTGCTGCCAGCTTTGTGCCCTTTTCCCTAGGCAATTTCCTTCCTATATTGACCGGTCTCGCTGCCTTCTCTGGAATTCTGCACCACATACTTCCACACTTCCACGTGTAAAATACTCCCCCTGGGCTCAACCCTCCACGGGCTCCTGTGAGACACCTTCCAACATCAGACCCAGACGTACACCATGCCATGAATTGTCTTTTAAGTCATGGCAGCCTAGCAAACTCTCAAGACACCCACTCCTCAGGCTGTCTTTACTTGTGTCCTCTCAGACCCTCAAGGGAGCTCACAAAGACCTAGACCCCAAGAGCAGAGGGGACCAACCCTCACCCTGTCTGCTGGGAATGGGTGTTTCTAGTCCTGGGAAGACCAAACCTCATACAAAAAATTAAAAAGTAATCATGGGGCTGGGGATTTAGCTCAGTGGTGCTGCCACCTACCTCACAAGTGCAGCATCCTGAGTTCAATTCCCAGTAACAACAACAAAAAATGTAATCGTGAAATCTAACAAAAGCACAAGTTGACAGAAATGGAACGAAGACTGGCCCTGCCTCTGTCAGTCCCACAAGCCCCCCTCCGACCTTCCGGCCCTCACTTCTCTGCACACACACACCTCCCTGCCCCTCCCCGACACGCCCAAACCTTCCTTCTTATACCAGATGTGCTGAAGAAAAGAAGCTACAGGGAAAGAAATAGAGTCCCATGAGTTTATATCGATTCAGGTTAAGGAAATGAGTCACAAGCTCTATAAAACCGAGATAAACTGGAAAACTCAATGGAAAGTACCGTATTTACTCCTAGCCACCCAGAACAAACGACCACAATTAAAAAATCCATGGTGTGAATTCACACCATGGGCCAGACGGGAGGAAGACTAAAGTTTCCCTGCAACTCTGCCAACTGCACCCTGCCCTTCCCGATGTAGCAGAGCTCCCTAGTGGAGAAGCAGACACAGGAGTTCCGCTGGGCCGGGGGCACCCAGAGCTCGGACCCTGAGACCCAGCCCAAAACCTGCTCTCAGCAGGCCGTGTGGAGCCGCGATGGGCTCATAGCAAGATACACCTGCGGGGCCCCGGAAATCATTTCTTTGGTTGCCTGATGTCAATGCTGGCCTCAGACACCTCTATGTCCCACTCTTCTTCCCCATTTTCCTTTCCATTTATTTTATACCCAAGTGAATGCTTCTTATATTTCACCGTTTTAAAAACAAAACAAAAGCAGAAAAGGGAGGTAGGTAAGCAGGGATGGAGAGGGCACAGAGAACCTAAAAAATGTCAAGAGCCCTACCAGACGAGGACGGCCCACGCCAGCTGCCAGTGAACCCGAGTCCTCTGGTCCTTGTGCACCCCAACCACAGAGGGCCACCCGTGGGGAAGGAGCTCCCCTACACCCCTTCCTCCCCGCCATGCTCCAACGGCAGGACGTCAAAAGTGGCCAGAGAGCCTGGCAAGCAAACTCCTGCAGAGATCGCCGTCTTGCTCCCACTCCCAGCGGTTGGGTGGGGAAGAGCCAGCTCACTGGAGCATTTCCTCATCCTTATCCCCAGAGGTAGAATCATTTTACCCAGTATCTGAAACACATGCTTCCAGTTCTCATTATTACAGGAACTCCTGATGGCACACCCTGCCTCTTACACTTCCAGTGCCCTCTGCCCCTGCAACGGGGCCACAAAGTACAGGTGCCACTGACCACCATGGCCCTGAGCTCACCCCACCACGGGCACACTCGCAGCCTCCCCACACGTACACCAGCGCAGTATGCACAGCGGCCAGAGGTACATTTATAGCGTGAGTGTGAGAGTGCAGCTGGGTCCGTGTCCTGAAGCAGGCCTGGCCCGCAGTCCTGGCATCCTGACGCTGCTCTGCGCTAGCCTGGCTCAGTGTTTGATCTCCAGGATGGAGGGGTTGTGGTCCAGGATGGCCAGGATAATCTTGTCCATGTACTGCCTCAGCCGGAAGTTGATCTCCTCCTGCTCCTTTAGGGCTTCCATAAGCTGAAGGAATAGGAAGGACGGTCAGGATACCCGATGACAAGAGGGGCCCTAGTGAGGTGACGCCTGACCAGAGGCCAAGACCAGAATCTGTGGCAAAGTATTTGGTCTGTGGAGTGGCAAGGGTACAGGTAATCTTTCGCAAAGGTTAAAGACTCTGGCCACAGGTATGTGTAATGGAGACTGATACTGTGTAAACAAGAAACACTGGTTCCCTTGCCTGCTTGGCAGCACAAGGACCCCCTGGTGGATCTCCATGATCTGGCATCTGGGCTCTGGGTGGCCCGGGGCTCCTGGTTCCAGAAGGGAGGAATGGGGTAGGACCCACACAGAAGGACCAGACTCCTTTAGAGAGTAAGAGGACATGGTTACCTCGTCGCGAGAGGCTGTGTCTATTTCTGCAGCCAGAGACTGGGCTTTGGTCTGGGTAGCAAAGAGGTTCTTTGCTTCGTAGAGGCTCAGGCTCAGGATCTGTCCATTCAGGTCATCATTCTGATCCCGCAGCTTGTGATTCTCCTGCAAAAACAGGATAAAAACAACAGGCAGGGGATTTAGCTCAGTGGTTCTGCCACCTACCTTGTAAGTGCAAGGTCCCAAGTTCAATCCCTGGTACCAAAAAAAAGCCTAGATGAGAAAAACAGCATCAGCTACCAGAAGCAACTGAAGCTCACAAGAGCCCAACTGTGTGCATCCACTGTCTCCGATGGCCACCAGCACCCTCCCCATACGTGTCACGGCCGGTCCAAGCAAACTACAGATGATGTGGCCTTTGCCGGGTGTCAGGGTAGAAAGGCTGGGTCCTGGTGTCCCACAAGTTCCTGGGCTTGGAGGGGAGTTTCAACCTTGCTCAGAGGAGCTGTCTCGGGCCAGGTGCATGGCTGGCCATCCCTTCCTCCCTAAGGCTCATCCCGCCGCCCTGGCCCCTGCTGTTCTGGGGTCTCTGGGAAAGCAGATGGCTCAACCCCGTGGCTCCTCCTGCAGCCGGGCTCTGGATTCCCTCTCACTGGGAGTTGCTTCATGTGCCTTTGCTCCTGAGGACAGCTGACCTCAGGGTCACAACACCAAGCTCCAGCTCCTGCCTAAAGGCACCTAAGGCTCACACCTGAGACCTGGAAGTTCCTCCTGGATGGGCTGGGTTTAGGGCCACTGAGGGCACCCAGCCACCAGCACCTCTACCACAGGTGATGCAAACTCAGAGGTGACCTGGGCTGCAGCCTCCAGCTGTAGGGTTGGCTGAGCTGGGGGACCTCAGGAGACATTTCCCTGTCTGGGCCAAAGCCCTTCCCAACCCACTCCCTCAGCCCTGGACTGGTCTCCAGTGAAGGCTGCCCTCCCAGTAACGTGAAACGGGATCTCAGGCTCGGGGCTGCTTCTGGGAGACCCAAGCCAGTGAGGCACTCGTCTGCAGCTGGCACTCGTCGGCTCATTCTCACCCCAGGCACCAAGGACAGGACAGTAGTGTGTCTTTCTTTTTGTGATCCTGGGACCCATAAGCCACAGCCAAAGCTGTTGCTTGACCTGAGAGAAATAGGCTGGCCCCGGCCCTGACAATCTGCACAAGGGACAGACAGCAGTGAGTGCCCTGCGGGGAGGAGGTTCCTCCACCAGAAGCCCAGTCCTGCTGGATGTTGGCTCCTGGGCCCACCTGTTTCAGCCGCTTGACCTCATGCTCGAGCTCCACCTCTCGGGCCCTGGCGTTAAACTCGCCCAGGCCGGATGAGGCGCTGCGGCCCCTGCCTGTCCGCTCACAGTCCAGCTTGTACATCTGCAGGTGCTCCAGCTCCTTCCGCAGGTCCTCGATGAGCTGCGGGCAAGAGAGGCCGGTTGGTGGGAGCAGGAACACTGTGGGGAGCCCCGGGACCCTCGTCGTGGGACTCACCTCCTGCGTGGCCTCCCGCTCCTTCTGGAACTCGAGGCGATTCTGGCGCAGCTTGTCCATCATGCGCTTGTACAGGTCCATCTCATCCTTCAGCCGCAGGCTGGTGTCCTCCAGCCGGTCAGACATGCGCTGCCGCTCCTGCAGCCAGGGAGACCGGTGACAGCGCCCTCTGAGTCATGGCTTGCAGAAACAGCCAGGTGCCCTCCAACTCTAGAGCACAGCGAGGAGCATCGCACGCCTCTGAGGTCAGTCAGTGGTGCAGGGGAAGCTTGAGCAGAAGCTGTTACCCCAGACGGAAGCGAACCGCTTTCCTCCAGGACTACAACCCACATCGTATAAGGAATATAAGGCACACATACATTCACTGTAGAAAACTTGCCAAATCGGAAGTACAGAAACATAAATCATGATTCACATTTTTGGGGCAATTTTTATGGTAGTTTTATGGCAGTTCTTTAATTTCATCTTTATTTATTTATTTATTTGGTACCGGGGACTGAACTCAGATCCTTGTGCTTGCGAGGCAGGCGGTGGAACCACTGAGGCAAATCCCCGGCCTTTATGGCAGTTTTTTTTTACAATTGAAGAAACTCTAAAGACCCCCTCCCTCGTTGTCAACATTGCTTCTCCGTAGATTTGCTCTCCCTTGGACCTGCTGCTCACCTCGTCTAGTTTCTCTGTCTGAGACTTGAGTCGTGAGACAGTTGTTCTAAGTTCAGCATTTTCTTCCTCTAACTGCTGCACCCTGGGGGAAAGGAGAAGGACATAATCTCAGGAATGCAGAATGGAGATCATGGCACAAGAGAAAACAATCTGCAGTTCTTTACTGCTTCCTGGAAAAGGGAAAATACAGAAAAACAAGTAAGAGAAAGACAGACAAACTGGGCCTGGTGGTACAGGCCTGTAATACCAGCACCTGGGAGGCTGAGGCAGGAGGATCACCTTGAGCTTGAGGTTAGCCTGGGCTACACAGTGAGTTCAAAGCCAGCCTAGACTGCATAGCGAGATCTTGCCTCAAAAAAACAAGAACAAAAATAAAAAATAAACCAACCCCCCCAAAACAGACAAAAGTAGCTATCCTGAATGATAAATGCATCAAATACTCCTAATCCAAAAGTCCAAAATGCTCTGAGATCCAAAACATCCTGAACACTAACATGCTGCCTGCCACAAATGGAAAATTCCACATACCATGAAACTTTATTTTATACACAAATTTAAAATATTGTATAAAAAATTTTAAAAATTACCCTCAGGCTCTACGTATAACAGCTATACACGAAACATAAATGAATTTCATGTTTAGACCTGGGCCCTATTCCTGAAATCTGATTATGTATACATAAATATTTAAAATCTAAAAAAAAAAAAACCCCTGAAATCTGAAGCACTTCTGTACCAAACATTGTGGATAAAGTATATGCAGTCTGCACAGCCTTGAGCTCCCTATCAGCCAAGGCAAAATAGTAACAGTATTCTTATGTTTTCCATAAAAGGAAACATTTGTGAATAAGAAGGTAGGATTTTGTTTGTTTGTTTGAGACAAGGTCTGGCTTTGAATTCACTATATAGCCTGGGCTGGCCTTGAACTTACGGCAGTTCTCTTGCCTCAGCCTCCCAAGCGCTGGCATTACAGGCATGTGCCACTATGGCTTGCCAGAAGGTAGGATTCTTTTTGCACATATTCTTTGAAGCCTGAAACACCACAAGGGGGATGTTTTTCCTCTAGACTGAGAAAGTCTTCCTGTGACTGGCTGCGACTGGGGCTCTCCTGTGACATTTACCATGGAAGGTGGTGGCCACATCTCCAGCGGGTGCCTGTCTGAGCACTCCCCCTGCAGCTGCCCGAGGTGCTCAGGCTCTGTGGAAATACCCGCCAGTGTTCCCTCGGGCTGTCCACAGTGGCTCCACGGGAAGGTGGAGCCTGGTGTTGGGGCGGTTTGGGTGGCTTGGGGGTCCGGCGAGCTGGACTGTCAGCAGGGCCACTTCTGGAACTGATTCCCCCAGCACACCCTGAGACCGGGATGGGTTCCCGGCCTCCACTGCTACCCTAGGGGCTCCCTAGCAGAGCCTCCAGGCCAGTGCCCGAGAGGAATTCAGACCCTCCAGAGGCAGTGGCCCAGAGGACACCTGCCTTGTGACTCAGAACACTGTCTGCACGGTGTGCGTGGACAGCGCCCTGGGTTAGGAGAGGTCCCGGGGGCGGGACTTCCACTCTGCACCCTCGCTCCTCTCCCAGATGGTGTCACAGGTACCCTTGTCTGCCAGCCGTCAGAAGCAGGCTGGGTGAGAGCTCCCACCTTTAAGGCGACACCCCCCTCCCACAAAGCTATAAACAGCAGCTGATGAGGGTGACAAAGCAGGTGTCAGGCACAGGAGAGGCAGGAAGGGTGCCTCACACAGCCCGACTGCCAGCCCTGCTCAGCACCCCGCCCCCAGACGCCAGGACACCCTGCACGGCCAAGGAGCACTAGGACACAGAGGACGGGCCAGGCAGCCTCGGCTAGCAGTGAAGGCAAATAGGCATCACAGCCTCACCACGTCAAGAGTGCGTCAGCTGCCCTCTCTCCTGCAGCTTGGCAGGGCAGACTAGGAGGGAGGGCGGCAGAGAGGGAGACCACGCAGATCACCTGAGGTCTCAGGGGTAATAGGGAACCAGCCCAGACGCCTGGCCAGTGCTGCTTCTTGCTCTGCTCACTTCCGGTTTCAACAATGAAGCCACACATACACCAGAGGCACAGGCTGCGGAGCCTCTCTCTGGCTGGGCTCCATCTGCCCAACTGGTCAAGGTCAGGAGGAACTGACACGAGGGGGAGCTCCAAGTCTAGACATCAGACGTGGCAGAAGTCTCAGGACCACTTTTTTTTAACCTATTACCTACCTTACTGACAGACATCTGTATTGTTCCCACTAGCTGACATCGTGTGTACTCTTCTATGTATTTCCTAATGAACACTGCCCCCTTTAAGGCAGGGTCTCACTCTATAATTCAGGCTGGCCTTAAACTCACTTCCTAGCCCTGGCTGGCCTCAAACATGCAGCAATCCTCCTGCCTCAGCCTCCCTAGTGCTGAGATTACAGGCATGAGCCACTACGCTCATGGGCTCACACCTGTTTTTCTTAGTTGTCAAACTGGATTTGTTGGAACACGAAGCTCAGTTCTCCTGTTTGTACATTGGGCACACAGCCTCCCCTAGGGCTGAGGCTGCAGGTCACAGTCAGGTGGAAGGCTCTCAGAGCTATATACCTGGTGTTGAGTAGGTCCAGCTCCGTGCTCTTTTCCCGCTCCAGCTTGCTGTAAGCCTCTCGGTGCCGCCGGGCCTCCTCCTCCAGCGCCTGCTCAGCAGTGGTCTCCTGGTCCTTCACCATCTCCTCCAGCTCGTGCACTCTGATGGGGGCACAACTCCAGTCCAGGCAAGTTCTCATGGCCCGAGTGGTCTTATCCCAACCCAGGCTGTGCATGGGGAGCCTCGGGCCTTACCGAGTCCTAACATGTTTACTGAGGGAGGTGGCAGAGTGTCCTCCAGGCCTATGGGCCAGCATAGGGGGAACAGCGGACCTCACCACTCTGGACACAACCTCAGGTCTCACCTCCTCTTTGCTGTGCTTTCCTGGCCACTGCCCCTCAGGTCAACAATTTAGTTCATCAGGCACTGTGACTCCAAAAATGGGTACATTCTGGCCAGTGGCCCAAACACGCCAGACCTGGGAAAGGGCCAGGTCCCACGGATGGTTCTAAACCCACTACCTGTGACTTCACTGGCCTACCAGTCGAAGGTGCCTCTCACTGGCAACAGTCCCTGCATCAGGATGACCTTATGGGCTCTACCAAAAGACCCGTGTTTTTTTTTGGGGGGGTCCCCACAAGGTAGGGGACCAGATCCTGAGCCAGCTACCAAGTTTCCTGCATCTGGGGAGGATTAAGTCCAGCATCCACCGCCTCATTGCCACAGCACTGGGAATGTTGTGCTCCACTGGCCTCCACCCATATCAAAGCTTAGACCCTTCCACCAGCCTCTCCCTCTGCAGCACTCAGCCCCAGGATGGCCCTTCTCACTGTAAGCAATGAGAGACAACAGACCCCAGGTCTTGCCTTAGACCACTCTGGAGGCTGACACCTGGGAAGTGCCTCGGGCCTAAAGTCAAGGTCAAGCTCCTCAGACCCTCAGAGTAGAAGGACGGAAGTTACAAGGTCAGCCCACATCCCCCAGAGCGAAGGCCCCAGCCTGACCTGTGTACCAGCTGTGTATTCTCCTGCTTCAGCTTGCTCTTCAGGTCCCCGTTGGTCAGGCTGTCATTCTCCAGCTCCGTCACCTTCTTTTCCAGGAAGCTCACCTGCAGCATCCGGGTAGAGGTCGGATGGAGAAGACCTTTGAGGTCTTCTGAGAAACTGGTGCTCATGACTGAGACCTCTAGATGGCCACTCATGCACAGGACAGTCGTGAATATGGGGGGTGGCGCGGACCACGTGACCTGCCCGCCCACCCCCACCCCCGGGCAGGTACAGGGTCTCCCAAGTCTCCACACAGCAGCCCAGAGAACTCCCCCAACCCCAGAGCATGCACACATCGTGTCCCTTCCTTCTCCACCCACACGGGGCCTACCTTCTCCGTGATGTCATTGTCACAGGAGTCAATGCTGTCCCGGAACAGATCTTCTGTGCTGCCGTTACTGCTGCTAAAGTTGCTGTTGTGCATGAGCTGCCTGCAGGAGTGAGGAGGACAGCGGCTGCAGAGGCCCCCGAGCAGGGGGTCAGACGAGTCTACGGGCTGGGCAAGCATCTGACACCAGGGTGCTAGGAAGCCTCAGTGAAGCAAGTGGCCTCACTCAGCCACAGGAGGAGAGCGCCACACCCAACAGATGGTCTGCTCAGAGGATGGCGGAGGGGCTGCTATGTCCATCCCTCCTGAGCCTCTGCCAGCCACAGCCAACTGATGACAGTTCCTTCCAGCTGCCTCTGAACCCTCTTCGCGCCAGGGCTAGCCAGCAGCTACGAAGAGAGCACAGCAGGCCTAAGAGGCCCCCTTCCTCCAGCTGGAAACCTGGCACGGTGTCTGGGCCTGCAGGGGCTCCTCATAAGGTGCACTCCCCTCCACCGAGCTGGCTCCATCTCGGGGCATCTCACAGGGTGAAGGGAGGGAGAGCCACCCTGTCCTGGTAGGGCACTGCTGGCTCGGGGAGGGCTGTGCCTCTGGGCAGCCCCACAGATCACCCGGATGAGGCCACGTGTGGGACGAGGGCAGGGAGGAGCCTGGCTTTCCTTCTGATGAGCGGGCCTGGCTGTTCCACCATGGCCCTGGGGCAGCCTCACACCACTGCTTACTCAACCACACACTCGGCACAGGCTGGGTCTGGGCTGGCGGCATGGAGCAGCAGGGGCAAGTAAACAGGAATAGCTAACAGGGGTGGGGGTGGTTACCGTCCAAAGGCTGTGCTAGAGATCTTCCGGTTGGGGCTGGGGAGAGAGAGAGAGAGAAGAAATGGTCACTGGACATGGGCTCTGGTCCACCCAACTCCCCCTGCTGCAGGGCGGGCTCTTCCCTCCACTGAAGGGACTCATTCACTGCTTGGTCCTGAGGAGAGGCAGCCTGACTTCTCGTTGCAGGAAAAGCCCCCAGCATCAGTCCTGCTGGCGAGCACCCTCACCTCCCAGCCCGAGCGGGTACCTGCCTGCTGCCTCTCCCTCCTAGCCCCAGCCCGGTGGTCTCCTGTGCCCTCATTGTACTGCATGTCTCACCTGTTGGCCTTCAGGTTTTTCAGCCTGGCTTCCAAGTCATTCAGCAGGTTGATTTTCTTGCAGCACTGAGAACAGTACACATCCAGCAACTCGCTGTTGTACGCATGCCGCATCTTCCTCGGGGTCTGTCCCGCACTGATCAGGGGAGGAGAGGGGATCACTTCTTAGCTGCTGTCAGGTTGTGCCCCACCCCACCCTGCTGAGCTTACTTTAGTTGGTTCCTCAAGAACTAAATGGGTGGCATGAGGAGTGGAAACAAAGCAACACAGCATCCCTTTCCTGGTACTCTCAAAGAGAGAAGGCTAATGAGATGTACCCATTTAACAGATTAAGGCAAACTGAGAGTCACTGTGAGAAGTAATGACTGAGGTGGGTGGGAAGGGATCACAGAAAGTCACACTGAATGTCCTAAGCCTGACATTCTAGGAAGTCGGATGATGCGGAACAACCCTGAAGGTTCCCTCTTCAGCCTCCCAAGATGGGAAGGGAAGGAGGAACTCCAGACTCCCAATCAGGGTGCAAGCAAGGAAGCACCCTTAACCCCAGCAAAAGACCTGTGTAGCACAGGGCAGAGGGACCTACAGTAAGATCCAGAGTTCGCCAGCTGAAACTCTGGAGTGAGGCTGGATTGGTTCTACCATTGTCTTAGACTCCAAATACCACCCCAGACCAAGGGTTACCTGGAGGACACTGAAGACCCCAGGTCTGAGTAGACGTTGGTCCTGGTCTCGTCGTCAGGACAGGGGCTGCTGGGGGCACAGTCCACGTCATCCCCCTCGCCATAGTCTTCAAACTGCTCCTCGCTACTGATGAGTGAGGCCGTGGAGTGCGTGGAGAGGTCTGACGTCGTCATGGACGGAGTGTGCACCAGGGACCTGGGGCCGGAGCACCGCGGTGAGTGAGGGAGCCTGGGCAGTCTGTGCCTTCTGACCTATGGACCCCCACCCCCAAGGAGCATCTCCCACAGAAGCTGGCCACGTGGGAGACGCGCAGACCTGTGCTCGCCCCAAGGAGTGCAGCACTGGTCACAGCTTAAAGGGTTAGCTACAAACTAGATTTAAAACTACAATCAAATTATAGTTACTAAATTACAACACTTATTAGTGATCCAAGTTATCAGATCACCAAACATTTGTGAAAGGCTTGTAAAAATACTGGCAATAATGTGGAGAAATGAATATAAATTAGGTATGACTAACGCTTTTTCAAAGACCGAGTGTGTATAGGTCTGTGTAGGAGGAAAACACAGGGAAAATATTAGAATGACGACAGGACTTGGGTTTACAGGGGGTTATTTCTTCCTTCTCACTTTCCTGACTGTTTCGAGTCTTTTTCATTAATGTGCACACCTTTTATAATGAAATGACAAATGACACTGCACTACTAGGTGAGAAGCGTCTCGTGGTTGAGGTGGTTCTAGCCCAAAGAACCCTAATCCCAGAGAACACGGGTCGGAGACCTCTCCTGGGTGACCTGTGGTGCAGCCTCCGGTGTATGGGGGCCTGGCCATCCTACCTACAATCTAAGAATGAAGAGGGGCACAACGCACTGCCAAGCCAGCTGATCTTCCCCTTCATCACTACACAGTAGCTTCTCTCCATTACTTCTCACCGATCATGACTTCCCCAGCCTCACTGAGCCTTCACACTCAAACATGGGAAACCTGATCAGGGCAAGGAGCTGCCATGGGCTAGAGCAGGAATTCTCAAACCATGCCCTGGAGGGAGCCCGGGCTCTATCTAGGAATCAGTGCTGATAACAGGGTGCCAAAGAAAGTCTCCTGAAACGGTAATGTATTTATTTCTTTGTCTTCCCTCAAGTTCCTCAGCACTGCAGGCTGGATTAATCATACTACTTTATTCTTTCTCTTACAGATTTTACTAAAACTCCCAGCACCCACTGCTGGCTAGCCTCCTGGTGGTCAGTCACCGGAAATGAGGGGGCCACCAAATGGCAGGTGATTAACTACAAGATCAATAGGTCAGCCAGGCGTGGTGGCACATGACTCTAATCCCAGCACTCAGGAGGCTGAGGCAGGAGGACTGCCGTCAGTATGAGGCCAGCCTGGGTTTACATAGTGAGATTAAGGCCAGCCTGAACTACACAGCAACAACCTGACAAAACAAAAACAAAAAAGAAAAAGATCAAGAGCCCTTCTCCTTGGGTTAGCTAATCATGGGTTCAGCAGCTGAACTGCTCCCAGGAAGCAACGTGGATCCCACGATAGATAAAACACCTCAAAGGGCGACACCTAGGCAGCACAACCCTCAGAACCACTGGGAAAATGTGTCCCGTTAAATCACAAGAAGTTACTTCTTGGGACAGAAGAGGGAAATGACTAAACATTAGCAATTTTACATGCCGCAGTCATAATGGAACCATCCTCTTCCTCCCTCTTAACTGTCACCTTCTTCTGATGCCTGGGTCGACACTTCAATCACCATGGATTCCTCAGCCATGGTGGGGGCTGCATCCTATCACCCCCAGCACTATATCCCTCCCGGGATCTCTTGAGGGCTGAAACAGAAGGGATTCCTTCTGTTGACATCACACTAAAAGTGACACTTTCAGTAGGAGGTCACTTAGTCTCTTCTTTTCTCCTGGGGTGCTGGGGAATCAAACACAGCCTTGTGTACTGCGAAACATACTAGACTGAGCTACAACCCAGTCCACTTAATAATTAGGTCTTAATACTGTTTTCAAACAGCTAATGAGATAGGCACGGCCAATACTGAAAATACAGATTATATAGCAGAGTAGATGGAAGGTCAATAAATTAATCACCCTACCTCCCAGAAATAACTGCTCAATTTTTAAGAATATATTTTCTAAATATATATAGTAGATATTTTCTCATACAGGCATATTTTTTTAAAAAAAACAAAGCTAAGATCATAGTTCACTGGCATGTTTGTAACCTGTTTTTTAGAACAAATCAAGCCAGGCGTGGTGGCACATGTCTGTAATCCCAGCACTGGGGAGGCTGCTGAGGCTGGAGGATGCTGTGAGTTCGAGGCCAGCCTGGGCTACACAGTGAGGTCCAGGTCAGTCTCAACTACATAGTGAAACTCTGTCTCAAAAAAACAAAAATAAAAAGTAAAACAAATCAAGATTGTGAATCTCATACAATAAACTATTAAAATCTGACTTAGACTAGCTGTCTGCAGTTCCAGAACTATTCCTACTACTGAGCGCTTAGGCTGCTTACAATTTTCTGCCATGCAGAATGCCCATGAAAGTAATGCCTGGGATGTAAACCTTGAGTGTGTCGATGCGTACTTCCCGGAAAGGCCTTCCAAATGCTTCATTTTTGGCCCAGAGGCCACTACCGAGCTCCTTCCAGTTTCACTCACTTGTCCTCTGACAGAAACAGGCCCGCAAGCCCCCGCTCCTTCTCCTCAGCGGGACTCCCGACAGACCCCTCCAGGCTCTGGGCGCTCTCCATAGGGCTGTCCATGTCTGACTCCTGGGGGCCCTCAGGTGGGGCCAGCGTCATAGCCTCCTCCTCGTCCTCGGGAAAGAAGCCAGGTTCCCTGGGGATGAGCTCGCCATCAGCAAAGGTGGAGCCCGAGACCTCGCTGCCCTGGGAAAGACAAGGGAACAGAATGAGCAAGAGTTGGCTCGCTGGGATGCGTGTTCCTCATCAGGCTGCAAGGGCATCAGCAAGCCTGGAACAACACAGACGGAGGCTCAGGAAGGACAAGAACCTGACACCCAAGGATGAGAAAGCCTGGGAGGTTGTCTTGGGGGGCCTCACGCTGTGAGGAGCCAGACCGCAAACAGACAGTATCCATGGAGAAGAGAAGGGCACCTGTCAGTGCACTACAGCCCTCATCACAGAGTCTGCATGGGATGCCGAGTACTTGGAGAAGGTGCCCTGGCGATCTGCATTAAGGACACAGCATGGCGAGTGGCCTTCAGAATAACCCTGGCCTCACAGAGTTTAACACAGCATGGCAGAGGGAAGTCTGCCCAGCTTGGGACCCAGCCTCCAAGACTGCAGGTCACAGAACCTCATTTTCTCCTTGGTAAAGCAAGAGTGCCAGGACTACCCAGTCCACTGATTGAGGTATTTCATGTTAGCCCCGGGCACACAGTAGGATCTCAATGAATAAATTCTGGCCAGAAGATGTGATGCCAGTCGGGGAGACGACTGTCGGCCTTGGCCCTGACATAGTCATGCTGGGGAGCAAGAACCCTAGAGGCCTTTCACTTCTGAGCTCTGGCCCAGACTTGCCCTCTCAGGGTTCAGTGTCCAGCTCAGGGCCGTGCGATGTGGGGACACAATAAAGAAGCACCTGTGCCTTTTGCTGAAGCCAGCTCGGAGAAGGGCTGTGGCTCGGGCAGCTCCTGACAACTGTTTCTTGGGCTTGCTTCCTTCTGAGGAGATGGGTGCTTCCCACATGGCTCTGGTCTACCTGTTCCCATGGGGATGTCCCAAAGTTCTGTGGTGTGCTCCTTGGCTGGCAGAGTGCTCTGTGAAAGTGCTCCCCTCATTCCGGGTTCCAAGAAGGGCACCAATGAGGGCTGTGAAAAGCCTCTGCTAGTTTTAGACAAGAACAGGTCCCAGGGCAACTCACTTGGGACCCCTCCTATCTCAGGAGCTATTCCTATTCCCCAATAAACCTTTTCTATTCAAGAAAAAACAAAACAAAACAAACAGGTTCCAGGACATCTGAGGCAGGGAGGCGCCTTGGAAGTGCCCAACGTGTGCAGCACGTCTATCCCCAGAAGGAGAGCCCTGGGCCAAGAAGACAGCTGGGCTCCTGCTTGCTTCCTAATGCAGGATGAGCGCCAGATGGAACAATAAAGATGGTGTCAGGCACCCCTGACTGTGGAGTAATTAAAATCACACAAATGTTCACAGGGTCCTTTCCACCTAGATGCCACTAATCTGACCCCACAAGGTTCCGAACCTATCAGCTCTTGCACCCTATGCAAGGGCTTCATCAGCAGGCAGAAAGCTGCATCCAATGGACATAAACAGAAACCAACATCATGAAACACCTACCTCCATCCACAAGCAGAGCTTCAGAGTTCATATATCATCCTTTTCCTTTTCCTACCCATCTCCAAGACACACAGTGTGACTCCCATTTTTACTGGTAGGAATCAGGCTCAGAGGATAGCTTGTCAGAGTCCTCTACCAGTAGCCTGCTTCCACTTATCACCAATGTCTCCACACTTCATGGATTTTCAAACTCAAAGAAACAAGGAGGAGATGCACTTTAGAATGGCATGCTGCTCGTTGTGATGCCCAGATGTTCTGCTCGATGCAGCAACTTCCACATCTGCCTCTACCAACTCCACGGGGGACTCTGGTTAGCCCAGTGACACCCAAGAAAAACAAAGGCGGAGACTGCAAAGGGGGCTGGGGCTCATGGGGGAGCAGTGCGCATGGTCCCTGTCCACTCCAGGCCATGAAGAACTGCAAACCTCACCCTGACAGCCACACGGGCAGGAACTGTCAGAAGCTGGGCCACTTGGCCAAGGGCCTTTCTTCCAGTTGTCCCATAGCCCTATGGCTACGGCTCCATTCCCCCTTTTGTAGGCAAAGATCCTTGCCCAGGATGGTGCAGACTGGGACCAGACTCCACGTCATCAACACCTAGTTTCCCCCACATCTGGGGTCCTGGGGAAGCTGCAGTCCACCTGGCTCCCGGAAAGCAGGCAGTGTCACCTCAGGTGTCTGGCTGGCCTTTGGGCGGTTCAGGTTTGGCTGCCCGGATACAGATCCAAGGTTTATGTGGTGCAATCTTCCCACTGATAAACCAACTCACAGAACAGTGCAGGTGGGTCCTTCGGCTCCTCACTCGACATCCCACAGCAGCACCAATGCACCAGGAGATCGGCCCAAGCTTTTGACAGGTGACAAGTGTGCCCCAAGTGGCCTGTCTCAGGCACAGGTCAGGCAGGAGGGGCACAAATGTCCCACCCTCCAATAAGACCAGCTCCTTCTTGGCAGATCTTTAGTTACACCTGCCTGGCCTCCACCTTTCTTTCACAAAGTGACCTCTGTCTGTCCATCTCTCACAGCAGCCTTGGGAGGGCTGTATGATGTTGGATTCCTGTTTCCCTCTGACACCTGTATGGGCTTCTGCCCTGAAACTTCCCCACTTAGAGGACCCTGAAGCCAGGCTCAGACATGCAAGGCCAGGCCTTCATCTACCCTCTGGCTACACACACACTCACTCCAGCTTTTCCTCTTAAAATTAGCTACTTCCTTTATTAACACCTTTTCATTCAACCCACAGTTATTTGCCCAAGGCAAGAAGAAACTTTAATTATAACTTCAAAACCATTTCTCATACTTCCTCCTAAATTAAAAGACAGCTATAAGAAAAGTAACTGTTTACCTTGATTAGTTCAGGACAGGATCACTTTGTTCCTGACCCAAGACCCTTTCAGTCTGGCATATGTAATGGACAAAAGCTTTCTTGTTCACCCTCCCTAACAGGCCACAATCCCTGTCTCCTCAGCTGCAATCCCCTGGTCCTTGGGGAAGGTCTGGGTGGGGCCACAAGCACCTTCTCCTGGTGGGCCTGGGAGGGGACCACTGGATGGGGGCAGCCTGCTCTGCTCCCCCACTCTTCAGGCAGCGAGGCGCTGGAAAGTAGCTCTTATCCTTCCCCAGCCTCTTCTCACAGGCTGGGAGAACTCAATGTCCTATCAGAACCCCTGCTGAGCCAGGGTCTCTGTTTTTAAAAGTTGTAGAGGAAGAGGGAGAACCAGTCTGTAATGAAGTCACCTTCATGAGGTTCTAGGTGGCTGGGGACATGGGCTTCCTGAGGCTGTGAGTGATCCTCCAGCCAGGTCACCCGTGCGGGTCACTGCCACACGGAGCACCTGTGTTCAGCTCCCAGAAGAGGCTGCCTTGCAGCGTGCACCCAGGAGACCTTTGGCTGATGTGGATGAGCCTCCTGGGGCTGGTTAGGTAAATTCTACTGGGGTGGATGCAAAATGCCAGCCTCATTCCCAGGCAAACCCAGGGCTCATTTCAGTGAAGGGACTCCAGGCCGAGGCAGCATGTCAGAGTCCCTCCCCCAAGAGCTGGGGGTAGTGGGAGAAAGGATGGCGTCAACTCTACCTCATCTTTCTGCTGGGTGGGTGGCCAAGAACTGCCCACTGGCCCTGTCTACCTGCAACGGTGCTCTCTGGCCCCCAGACGCTGCTCTGGAAGGCTGCCAGAGTCACAGGCAGGGAACGGGCTTCCCAAGAGCTCATGTCTCCAGGCAGCCAGTGAGCGAGGCCAGGGCTCACAGCAGCTTCTGAGACTCTGCCCCTTGGAGCTCCCCTCTCCTGACCCTTTCCCAGAGTGTGAAAAAGATGTTCATGCAACCTTCCAGTTACCATCCAGTGGCCCCAGCCCTGGGGACAGGTCCAGGCCTTGAACTTCACGAGAACTCAAGAGTTGCACAGAAAGCTGTGGCTGGTCTTTGGGGGAACTTTAGGGAAGGGATGGTATACTCCACAGGAAACACATGGCACTGTGCATGGTCCAATATGATTCCCCAGGGCTCCGGTCCTGGAGACCTAGAGGCAGCTCTGAGCACAGGACTCCTGTCCAGGGCCCAGGGCCAGCTCCCAAGGGCCACATGGGCTTGGCTGGTTTATATCCACACGGCCCCAGGGTCACCTCCCTCCTGTGTCAAGGGCTCCCAGAAGCAAATGGGATAAAGGAGATACACTGTTTCCCTTCACAAGCCCAGGGAGTCCTGGGGATGGGACCAGGTGAGGGCTCAGCACTGGAGCCTGGCAGACTGGAAAACTCGTAAGCTGTGTGCCCGAGACCTCCCCGACTGGGCAAGGACTTTCATCTCTACCCTCAGAGGCTACTCGAGGCCCACACATGGCAATTCACACAAGCACCAGACACTGTGGGAACTGAAGTCCTGGTCTAGCCTCTGAAGGGCTGCGTGTGGTGGAAGCTGAGCTACCCTACACTGGGGTCTCCAGTTGGCCAGAGGGCAAGGTCCAGAAGGCAGGCAGCCAGGCTAGGGTTTCCAGAGAGCTCTGAGGCCCAGGTCTGCTGCCCTGGCAGGGCAGGTCTGTGCCACCAGCATCCTGTGCTGCTGTGTCCCCTGCCTCTACTTCTCACCACTTCAGCTGGGGCTGGACAGAGCTGAGCCACCCTGGAGTGGGAGTCTGGAGGCACACAGGCTGCCTGCGGGGCCTCTCTCCAGTCTCAAGAGCTGTGTCCACCCGCCAGCAGGGCCCAACGTCACCTCTTCCTCTGTAGGAAGCTGCCAAGGGCTGAATTCAACACAGGCTGAAAAGGCCAAGTATTGATACGTATGGAGGCACCAAGCCTTGGAGTGGCTCACAATGCTCCACTGTCCCCTGAGGGGGTGGCAGGGCCCATGTGAAACTGCTTCATTTGGCTTTCGCCCTCTCTTACCTTGCCTGGCTGGGGAGCGGTCTCAAAGTCGTCACACCCACCAGACCACTAGGTTTTCCCTGCAGCCGACAGTGGGGCAGCAACCCTGAGTGACTGCGTTTCCTCGCTCCCTTCCAGAACGAAGGTGCTGAACGGGATCCTCGGGGATTCCACGTTTGAACCCAACAGGAAGGCACACATGCTAA